TAAATTAATATTTTTGTGTGTGGCTATTTGGCCCTTAAATCTAGCAACATAAGGTGTAAATGAATTCATGTTAAGCTAAGCATCTATACACATACCATAGATTTTTGGAAACTTTCTTATATTACAAATGAGAAATCTGAAGTTCAGAAAAATAAAATAAAATAACATACTCCAGTCCAAAAGTTCACTAGTAGCAAAGCCTGGCCTACTTTAGCTTTATGGTAGACACTTTCTTCAACCAAATGTTTTTTGTTTTCAACTCACATGACTGACCCTCATGCAGAGTTCTCATCAGCTGGCCCAGCTGCATTCTCCTAACATTGCTGTGGTAATTTAACCGCTTCTCCAAGGATTTTCTCTGTCACTGAAAAACCTATCCTCAGAGTTGAAACCTTCCTCTCAGAGTCAACTCTTGCCTTATTTTAGGTGCTGGCAACATTCACACACGTGGCCCATCCATGTGACAGCGATGCTCACTGTTCAGTGCCCTCTGGTCTGTGTTGTTTGTCTTTACTGCAGCATCTCACTCACCCTGACCCCCATCTGGCACCTTGACTTTGCCAAGAGCTGCTCTACCTCTGAACTCCTAAAGCCTCTGAAAAAATACAAGCCTATTCTTTTATTCAACTTCTTTCCTTCCCAACTCACCTGCTCTCCATATTCCATGGAAAGCCTGCAACAAGCCATTTTCTTACCTGATTTGATTCTCCTCCTGTACCTGAGAAAATCTACCTCTGTGCCTGTGCTGGCTACCATCTTGTAACAAAGCCCCTTTGTCAGAGAAAGTAACCTTCCAATTCAGAATGTCTACTTCATATGAAACTCCAGTTGGAGGAGACTATAAGTCATTTACTCACCCATCTTATCCCAGTAAGACCAGAAAGCAGTAGCTTATTAAGATGAAACTAAAAGGAGTGCTGCCCTCTAAGTAACTAGGGGTGGTGTGGAGTGGATAAGCGTGAGAAAGTTAGGGAAAGGTGGCTAGGCTTGAATTCCAGAGGTCTGAAATACTATTGGCCCAGAAGATTTAGGGAGTTAGCTATGCTTAGGGACCCATTAGGATGCAATGCACAGAAAACTGTCTCCTAAATTTCTTGTGCATATGACACCACGGTGCTCAAATAGTGACAAGTAAATGTAATGCATCAGTATTGTTGTCAGCATTTTATAACTCTAGCCAAAAAAATGTCTTCAGCCCAGGTGAGCCTGCATAAGGAAGACACAAGGAAGTTCTGGGGTAGGAAGTGAAAATAGAGAGGCTGAGGTATATCTTACTGATTTGGTGACATTGAACTGTACAGATCGGACTTCTCATTCTTTCCCTTCATACAGTTGCACCAACAGTCCTAAGTACAACTCCCTTGGTGGAAGAGACTATTTCATAGCCATTGTTGGATAACTGAGGCACTTTTCTGTGTTATCTGTGGTGCTCTGACAGTGGGGAGTGGAGTCTCACCATGTTTCCTGGACTGACCTTGACTCCATGGGCTCAAATGATCCATGAGCCACTGTGCCTAGCTACATTTTCTGATTTGCCTGTCATACCAGAAAGAAAATAAAAGACCAATAAACAAATTGCTGCTAGTATATTCTAAAGGAGAAACTATTTATAATGGGCATCCAAAGGTGATATTGAAGTACTGGAGAACATTTATAATGAACAAATAATGTTCCCCTTTCCTGGATAATGAGTATACTATCTGATATTTTCACTGTTTGATCAACAAGTTTTACTCTGTTGTTAAAGAGGAAGCCACGTCTATCTCTCTGTCTTAATTAAAAACTGTTTTGTAAGCATGTTCTCCTCTGCTATAGTCATCGAGGAACAAAGATATATAAACTATAGTCCTTCCATTAAGAAATTCACCATATAATGGTTACCATTTGCTTTCTAAGTGACACCATGGGAATAGGTATGATGTGAAAAGGTAATAGAGGGAAGTGTAACTAGCTCTCTCTGTCTGTGCCAGTGAAAGAAGGAGGGAATGTTCATGGAGGCCTCACAATGGGGCGACATCCAATGTCCAAACCATTGGAGGAATAAGAGGAAGAAACAAAGGCGTGAATATGAGGAAAGCCCTAGCCCTTGAAGGGATACACATCAAATTATGGAGTTAGTACTCTATTTTGTAAGCATGGTGGCCAACGAAGGATTTTAAACAAGGAAGAGCCATGAACATATGTTTGTGTTGGAGAACACTGGTGCTCTGAAGGTTTTAGAGAAGAAAGATTAAAAGAAGGAATCAAATGGGAAGATGGGACATTTAGGAGTCCCTTTTGAGAGGTGCTGGAATAAAAGCAATTCAACTCATCAATTTAATGGAGAGATGATTATAGCTTTACTAAAAGAAGTGTGAAATGGTGGGGAAAGCATTGAATTGATTTGACAGTCAGTAGTAGGTAGATTTGTCTTTAGAAGCATGGCTGGAGATTTAGTTCAGTGGTGCTGCCGCCTGCCTTGCAAGAAAAAAAAAAAAAAAAGGAAGCAGCTGATTTGTTCTGAGCATCAAAGAAAAAGAGAGGTGTAGAATGACTTTCAGGATTTTCTTTTGTAGAACCAGATAGGAAAGAAAAAATGCACGGACTGGGGGGAAAAATAAGTTCTAAACTGGTAGAATTTGGGGTATCCATGAGAACAAAAAGTTGAAAGAATCTGTAGAAATATCCAGAAAGGGTATATTTGAGATTTGTCAGCAAATAGGTGAGGTTAAAACTCCAAAAGTTGATGATATTTCCAAGAGGGAGGAGACAGAGTGAAAAGAGAAGGGTCACAGGAAGAACTTTAGGGAAAATGAAAGTAAGTAAGAGGTTTCTGAAAAGGGAGGGACAAAGACGAGTAGAGGGGGAGGAAAGAGGAAGCATCAGTAATGAACTCAGATAGAATGAAAGCCCAGGGAGGAGAGAATTTCAAGACAAGAACAGTGAAATATTAAGCTGGAAGAAAAGGGAGAGGGGACTATGGAAATAGTAGCCTGTAGTAGTGTCTCTGTTTGCTGGTGCTACTATAGCAACAAAAAATGAGTTCTCAGATTGTTAAGGGCTGAGAGGTCCAAATTGAAGCCATAAGCAAGTATGGAGCTTCTCTCTGCTTCCAAGAAGGCACTTGAGTGCTGCATCCTTCAGAAGAGATGAGCTGTGTGTCCTTGCATGGAAGAAGTGATGGGAGAGGACAAAGCTAAGGTAGTTCTTTTCAGTTCTTTTATAAGGCAGCTTCATCAGGGCCTCCCTCTTAATACTGCCAACAGTGGGGATTAAACTTCAGTACATAAGAAAAGATACTCAGAGCACAGAGAGAAGCCCCCACTTCCTCCTGGCTTCTGCCCTTCCATCAATCTCTTGAGTGTTAACGCTATTGAAAGGGACAAGAGAGAATGGGGAACTGTTAGTATATGGTGCTGTCTCAGCAGACAGAAGGGAAGATGAGAGACAGCACATGTCTAGGGTAAGATGAAAACAATTCTTTAGGGTGGGGAACAGTTCCATATTTTAAAATGGGTGATGGGAAAGAGTAGAAAAGGAAGGTCAATAAATCAGGGCTGTAGAGGAAATAAGAAGAAACCGTGGACAGAGCAGCTTTGAACAGAAACCTTTTCTGTGAGTGATGATGTAGTTATGTTTGGAGAAGAGGAAAGAAAAGAGTTTGAAAATAACATGTGGGAAAGAAAGAAGGAAAAGAAGGGAAAATACAGATGCAGCAGATTTGGGAAGGGTTCCACTGAGATTGTGAACCATGTGTTTTGAGTAGTGTAAGTTCAAACTGTTTTGATATTCTCTCCAGTAGTGTACCAGGCCCCAGACACAGGAAGGGACTCTCAGCTTTCATAGCAGTTCATTAACTTGGTCACCTGCTGGCTCAGTGCCCAACATACCAACTAAGATCTTTCTGCAATTAATTTAACAGGCTACCGGGCACTCACCAGAAATCATAGCCTAGAATTATCCTTTATTCAGCTCCTGTCAGAAGACCAGATGAGGGAATTGCTGTTTAGTATGTCTCAGGCATCGAAGAGGTCACCATCTTCCTCTCTGCACAAAGTCAGGTTTCCAGAATATTACATACCTGACTTTGTTTATTCTTCCTAAAGAATTACCTTTTCTAAATTGCATTGTACATAATATTTCCTCTTTTCATTCTTTAAAGGTCAGAGGAAGGATTGGAAATGAAATAGTGTGTTATAATTTTTACTTTTTTTGTTGAAGACAATTCTTCATGTGTTGTTTAATGTCCCTTGTATTAAGTTCATTGTTAACAAATTGCTTTAGGTTTTAATTTCATGAAGCCATTTATTTCTCTTGAGGAGCTGTCAGGTTTCATCTTAATTGATAATGGAGTGGTTCCTGTTTTTTGCTTGCCTACTGGGAAGCTTGAAACTAAGTTTAATGCTCAGTCACAGAAAATGTTCTAGCTTACATGTATAAATATTAGTGTCTGCCACTTGGAAAGTGTTACCTCGTAGTCTTTTTATAATTGTAAGATACCTCAACTATTTTGGGAGGAGGAATATATATATGTATTGAGGTTACCCTCATCCCTGTAGGTGCAGACCCTAAAGGTGTCCCTACATATCATGGAGCAGATGGTAATGAGAAGCTGAGAATAGTTTTCATCTGTGGAAAAAGGGCGGTACCTCACACCCATAATTTAATACACTAAACATGAAGAAAGCTTTCCTATTTATCTAGTGTGCATACAAGAAACCTTAAGTGTCAGTGCTACTTCACATCAGTTGAAAAATCCTTCCCCGGCTCAGACTCTGTGTGGTCTCCTTATAGAATGCCTTCTGGGCCTGCTTGTGCCCACAGGATGTTTTGCCAGGGTGCAGGGTTGGCTGAAGTCGTCTCTTTTCCCTATGCAGCCCTGAGCAGGGCTGCTTGCTCTTGTGAATTTATAATAGCTTCTTTTCCAAATCTGCTTCTTATCCTTAAGGGAAAATAAATCTGTGTGTAAAGCGGCTGTTGTGTGACAAGTGGGGAGGCAACTTGCTTTTTACTTACTTGCTGACTTTCCCAGGTCTTCTCATGTGCTTCCTGGACCACAATTGCTGGTCACTGTGCAGCTGGTTTGCTGAGTGTTCTAGGTAGGCTCAGCACTCAGGATGCCACCTTCTACATCATTCTTCTTCGAGCCAAGGGCGACGTGGTTTCACTTGGGGAGCTGCAATTTATATGGGATGAAACATTAAGAAGATTCCCCAGGTCTCTTTATCCTGTTAATAGGTTGTCATTAAATCACAGAGAATGGAGGAGACACTGTGCATTGATATATATGAGGGATGAATCATCCCTTTTTGGGAGGGCTAGAAATGCTAGATTTGAAACTATGAAGAGGCAAATTTCATTTTTTCTTCTATGTTGGTACATCCTGAAGGAAAGTGCAGTATGTAATATCTTTGATCTTAAAAGTAAAATCTTACTTGAAAAGAAATTACATCTTAAAAAATAAAAAGAAATATCGAGGGAGCGATTAGTTTTTGAAGTGCTCATATTCTCCCTTTCAGTGAGTTATTTTTAGGATCTCTAGGTGCAGAGCAAGGCACAAGAAGAATCTTCTCAAACTTTAGTATGCATGCAGATCACCTGGGGAACTTGCTAAACTGCAGACTCTGCTTTGGTGGGACTGGGATGGGCCTGTGATCTGCATTTCTACCAGGCTCTTGGGAAATATTGCTGCTGACTTTGCCTGGATCACAACATGAACAGAGCCTCAGGAGGTCCCTTCAGATAGTGTGCTTCTTGTGACAGTGCATTGTCTATGCTTTGTCATACATTTACAAATAATTTCTTTCAGAGTAATCTATATGTCTAAAGGCAATGTTCTCTGCTCCTACAGTAGACAGAAAATGGCTTTAAAATGGTCATATTTAGAAAATTATACTAAAGATGTTGATCTCATTTCTTACATTTGATAGTTTTTAAAAATATGCATTTGCTAACCTGAATAATTGCTGAATGTAGCACTGCAGTTAAACAAGTTTCTGAATATATGAATTCCTTTTCACTAGAATACCCTTCCCCAATAAAATATCTTTCTTGGTCAGTTGTAACCTGCTAGAGGGCGAAATCTTAGCTCTGTTTTGCAATTAGAGCCACACTTTGCACATTGTGGGCATTCAATAAATATATTTTCAATTGGATTAACAAAGGAGGGCTTTTGTTTCCTGTGTCATTTTCTGCTTTAGTAAGGAGTTTGATGATTTAGGAATTTGTGGGCCTTGCATCAGTTCTCATTGCCTAGCACTGTAAATGTAAATGAAGTGGGATAGTGAACTAATTATTCAATTTCTAAAAACCAACAACCTTGGAAGTGTATTGGTATTTTACTAAATTCTTTACACAATATTTTTCTTTATATGGTTCTTTCTCACAAAAGAAAAAATGTCCAATTAATTTCCTGAGTTAGATTCTACTTAACATCACTATTTACCTTTAACTTTTCAAATGATTGAGGCATATATTACATTCACTGTCAGTTAAAACCCTCAGATGTCGCATTTCTCTCATTTTCTTACTTTGTGTGAATATTATATGCGATACTCTCTCTTCCTTTTGGATTAGTGCCCATGTGCAGGGAGAGGTTTAGTATATAGGAGAACTAGCTTCTTTTCTCCTTCTCCTGGAGATGACTCTGGACAAGCCCATTAACTGCTTTAAGTCTTTTGTCTGATTTGTAAAGACTGGCAAGCCTTTCTTCCAGATTTCAGTTGAGCAACTTTAAAGTATTTAAAAAATAGTACACTTTCATATGAACACCATCAGTTGCGTTCTACCCCGTCATAGCTTATATTATCACTTTGCATTTTCATTATTAATAATTGCTTCTTGACCTCTGAATTTCCCTGAAAGTTAGAAGCAACTAGTACTTTTCAGCATTTATTTGAAATGGTAGACTTTGTGTTGAAGGGGACATGTTTTAAAGTTTGATTTGAAAAAGAAACTTTGAGGTCTGGTGACTTTCCTGAGACAGCATACAGCTAGCTACTCAAAGGTGCAAGTCTTTTTCTTGTAACTAGTCTTTGCTTTCCACACTCTCTGGACCCTCTCCAAATTACTTACCTTTAACTCTTCACATCTTCTTACTCTGTATTTTTTCCGTCTTTGGTCTTTGTAGCTTGTCTTGATGGGAAAGGCCTCAACTTCATATCAGTCAGCCTGCTGTTAATTCATCAGTTTATAAGTACAATTCCTCGTATACGTTAGGCAGTATGCTGGTATCAGAAATGTATTCAGGTGTGCAGATATAAATAACATTTGGTAATGGGCAATTATCTGTAGTCAATTATGCATGTATTATTGAACAATAAAATAACATTGTCTATATTTCTAGACTTTACGGATGCCCTGTAGTTCTTGTCATTGCTTACAGTCCAGAAAGAGAGACATGGTGTGGGGGGCAGGGGAGAAATGAGAGAAGGGCTTGTTGCCACAAGAGAGGGTGTAGAGACCCATGAAGCAAGTTAATTCTAGTCTCTCCCTGGGAACATCAGGAAAGTCTCTTGGAATGGCAGAACTGGGTTTTAGATGATACTAATCTTTCCAATGCAGAGCTAGATGGAAACTGGAAATGGAATCACTCATGAGTGAAATCATGAGTATGGGCTTGGAGTAGAGAATAACAGACATGCAAAGAATGACAAGTCACTTACATTTTTTGGAATAAAAGGTAACAAGAGGGGACTGGTGGAAGAATTGGTTGGAAAAGTGGACCTCAGTAACAGAGTGATAAGAATGTCAGAGTTTGAGCTGGTCTTTCATTATCTGTTAGTCAAAACAGAGAAGACCTTCTTTTGTAAATTCCTACCAAAGACTAATAAATAGGGACTTAGTTTTAACTTTCCTTGCCTACTCATTTTTTAGGTCCTTCTATTTTTCCTTGGGCTAGAAAATGACACCTTTGCAAGGAAGCTACCTTCTTTGTTTGTCTGGCAAAATGTCATCAATCATATAACCCATTTACATTTCTGTAGTAACATAAATAAGGCATATGATTGTAGGTAGGATGCAGGCGAATGTAGTGCAATGTTTTGCAGTTCAAGCTTGCAGCCTCTGTGGACACGTGGACCGCCTCTCAGTGAAGCAAAAGGCATATCACAAGCTGGCTTCTCAGCTGTGAAATGCCACTACTTAGGTCACATGCCTCAGTTAAAAAACTGCCAGGAGCAACGCCTTCTTGGCGGAGAGGCGTGCCACCTGTCACCCAAAGCTGCTGTCCCCCCGGCAACATGCACAGATAACTTTGCTTCTCTGCATGTGGGGAGCTTGTGTTCTTTGCCTTTTGCAGTGAATCTTTCCATGGTATATCTAGGGTAGAATTCACTCTGATACTCATTGATTTAGGGACTATTGCCCATACTTACCAGGGCCAAAGATGAGTCCAGAAGAATAGTTGTAAGTTTAGAGATGATGGTTAGGTGAAAATGTGAATTATCTCTTGTGTGAAAGATGGCTATGATAGGCATATTTCCACTTGACATCTAGCCATGATGTCACCCTTGGTGACATGGCAGGATCACACCATTTTTTTTTTTTTTTTGGTACAGGGGATTGAACTCGGGTCTTTGTGTTTGCAAGGCAGGCCACCAAACCGCTGAGCTAAATCCCTGGCCCCACACGATCACACCTTTTGTCATTCCTTTAATAATGTTCATGGATTCTTGGAAATAAGCCTTAAAATACATTTTGGGTCCATTTGAGACTGTAACTCATCAACTGTTATGTCATACAAAGCAGGAAACATAGTTCATATTTTATAAGCAGGTAAAACACTCTATACACAATGGACTTTACTTTTGATTTTCCCCATACCTTTGTGGTATTAAGTAAAAAGTGCTTGGCTAGTACTCATTAAAGAATAACTAAATAGTGGATTTCATAAAAATCATTTAATATGAATTTGGGCTTGCCAGGATATTGAGATCTTTTAGCTAATAATTACTCTAAAATGGACCTATTAAAAACTGAGAATGCCCTTCCTTTGTGAAGATATGTATGTTCTCACTGCCATAAGCAAAACTGTGGTATTTAAAAGTTTAAAAAGCATTCCATTTTTGAGTGATTTAAGTGTATATTATATATATATATATATATTTTTTTTTTTAATTACATGGTACTGAGTTTTTTACATGGTCTCTTTGTCTTGGAGGCTTCAGACATCTTTAGACAAGAAAAGGTATATTGGAGTCCTAATATTCAATACCTCAGAATCTGCCCTCATTTGGAGAAAGGGCTGTATGAAGGAAATCTAGTTAAAATGACACATTCCTGTTTTTTTTCTGGGCCACTCTGTGATACCTTGATATAGCAGCCCTAAGAAACTAATGCAGTGGATTAGTATGAGCCCTACCTAATCCAAGGTGTTCATATAAGAAAGGAGAAGTTTGTACCCAGGAAGATACCCAAACAAGAATAACACGGGAAGAATGAAAGGCAGAGGTCTCCATAATCCAGCTGTAGGCAAGGAATGCCAAAGATGGCCAACAAAGCACCAGGAGCTCTGAGACAGACACAGAGCGGGCCTTCTCACACAGCATTCAGAAGGAACCAGTTCTGTGGATATTGTGATTTCAGACTTTTAGCCTCCAGAACTGTAAGATTAATTTCTGTTCCTTTTTTTGGCCACTCTGTGATACTTTGCTATAGCAGCCTTAGGAAACTAATAGAGTTCTGAGGTTATTACATTGTAAACTTAGTCAGGCGTAGGTATCCCTCATGTGCTGAAAAAACCTAGAATGTATGGTGCAACTGATGCCGATTATGAATTCCTCACCATTTGACCCACCTTCAACTCATAAATGATGACATAACTTGGATGTCTGTTATGGAGAAAGTCAATTTAAGGTCTCAGCTTGATTGGGTTAAGGGATAGCCAGATAGCTTATAAAACATTATATCTAGGTATGTTTATGAGGATGTTTTCCAGAAAAGATTGGTACTTGATCAGTGGGTTGAGTAAGAAAGACTCAATCCCAGATAATGTGGGCAGGCAGTGTACAATCAGATGAGGATACAAGAAAAATGTAGAGGCAAGGTAAATTTGTTTCTGTCACTCTGGAGCTGGGTTACCTTTGATCTTGTATCCTCATACAAGAAAAATGTAGAGGCAAGGTAAATTTGTTTCTGTCACTCTGGAGCTGGGTTACCTTTGTCTTTGGATACCAGACTACATGGTCTCCAGTCTTTGGTCTCTGGGGGTTGCACCGGAAGCTCCTCGGGTTCTCAGGTCTTTGTTCTCAGACTGAGAGTTCCACTCTCAGCTTTCTGAGTTCTGAGGCTTTTGGACTTGGACTGTGTCACACTACTGACTTCATGGATTGAAATGTACATATTACTTCATTTGGTCCTCTCAGTGACACTAGGAGGTAGATGGTAATCTTGTTTTAGAAAAATTAAAAATGGTTCTATAAGTCACATCGAAAAAAGTGGCAGACACAATCAGTTCAAAATTAGCCAGTCTTATTTCAAAGCTCAAGTGTCTGATCCCTATATAATTTACTGTAGAAGGAATCACTGGGATCCTTAACAGGCTTATGATTTTTTCCAGCTACATATTGTCAGCAGCATACTCTGGTTTCTCTTCAGATCATATAAATCTTTTGCCTTTTACATATTGTCAGCATTTTTAATGCCTATTTAAACCAATAAAAAAGTAAATAATCAATGCATGCTTTAAAAATTAGATCCCAGAGCTAGTCCAACATATTTTTTATTGTCAAGCTGGAGAACCACATAACCCAACCCACTGACTCTTCAAAAAGGATAAAATAAATACAAGCTTGGTTTTCCTGTTTAGTTTCCTTCATGTTCTGAAATATGTATCATTTTCATACTAAAGCTCATTCCCGTTTGACTTCTCAGTAAGAGACTGAGGGAGGCATTGTCAGAGGGGCAGAGATATCTGCACATTGATTTGTTTTCAAGCAGATTTGATCCTTTTATAAAAACCTTCAAGTATAATGACTCCTAAAAATGATGATTAAAAAATCCTTTTTTCTTGTATCTAGAAAAATCCTGTAATTAAAAAAAGATGAACACATCTATATTTCTAAAAACAAGGGATACTTTTCAATGGGGGTTGGGAAAGAAGCTTTATCTTGTGCCTGGGATTTTCTAGGGGTTTAATACTGGAGAGTTTTCTACATTTTGTAATTGACGATGCCCTTAACTGACATGTTCTCAAAAGCAGAATGTACGTGCTGCCAACTGAATTTCTAGCGGGGTGTGCATGTGTAAGCCAGCATGTCCTAACTGGTCTTTATGATTACAGGCACGTGGCTGTGAGGTTCTTTGTTCATTATATGAGGAGTAGGGGTGTTAAGCTAATTTGATTCAACAAATAAGCCCAAAGACCTGAGGACTTCTAATTCTGTGAGTAGGATAGTAGTCTATATAGCTTTATAACAGAGCAATGCTGAGCATCCCTTCCTGGAAGAGCTCTGTCAGTGACTGTGGCTTACCAATGTAGCTATCAACCTTTTAGAATTTGGTTCCTCCATTTGTAGGCACCATTTGAACAGATAACAAAAAGAATAGATGTGAGGGAGGGGGTACTAGTGACGTAAAGTGAGGCTTCTAGAGTCAGACAGATCTGAATTTTAATGCTACCTTTGTCATGTGTGAGCTGTGTGACTTTGGGTAGGTCATTTAACCTTTGTGCCCTTGTTCCTTACGTCTGTAATTACATCTTGTGTGACAAATGGGATAGTGGCTGCCATGTGAAAAACTCAATAACACACACATATACATACATAGGCTAAAAAGGTGGTGGCATGGTACAGAATATTCTATTTTGGTCAGCTTTTATTGGGAGTGGCTTTCCTTTCCTCTGTAAGTTTGCTACTACTCTCATCTCAGATATTTTGTGGATACCCTCTGGAACTGTCACAGAAAATATTGGCAGAGGGAAAAAGAGGAGATTTCATATGGAGAATAATTCTGTGTGAAAGGATACCTATAGAACCTCCAGAAAGGCATTGAACTGCTCCCCTCCCTTAACTGTTTTTCACTGAGGGAACTTTTGGGTGTTAACTATGTTCCTTTTAAAAAGTAGTGCCTTCAGAAAGTGTAGCATTTAAAGCTGTCAATTATGCCTGGGTTATCAGATAAATGTTTAGTGTGGGCATGACAGGTTGATTCTGGCATGGAGGGGACATCAAAGGTTATTCCTATTTTATAATTTTTATTTGGCTTTAGCTGTGAACACAAGTACAGCGTTTCCTGAAGGTCTTTGATGATCCTCTTTAATCATCATCACCATCATTTCCCAAGCACCCTTATATAATCTTGGTTATATAAAGCAATGGCCTCTACACTGTACAAGGTTGCCAGACTCAGTGGCTGCGTGGTGTGGCTGAGTTGAAGTCATGTCAGTGAGATCATGATGCTGAAGTAGACATCTGGAGTCCTGCTTATGACTATCTTCAGGGTAGAATACTTCTTATCTGACAATGATTCTTGTAGCATCTATCACAACTCCTTGCACATAGACTGCAAATGTCAGCTAAAATGAATTCACCATCATAAAATAGTAATTGTTTTCTAGTCTTGTAAGCTTGTAAGAAAGAGATATTCTTTGCCTTATGAAAGAAATTAGAGATTTGAGGGTTTTTTCTATACCCAAACTTTCCTAACATTTATTTATTGCATTGCTCTTCCTTTGTTTTTTCTGGATTGTAAATTCAGCCTCTCTAGTTTATGTCTTAAGTTTTTATGTTTTTGCTTAGGTTCCATTTTTGACTGCACTTTAGAATTATCTAGGGAGCTTTACAGCCATTCGCTTTTGGTCTTCGTTGTGGAGGTTTTGTTGGAGTCTTGAGAGTAGCCTGAGGGGTCCACAGTCCTTTCTGTGCAGAGAAGGTTCTGGAGGTGAGAAAAAAAGAGAAGAGAGAGTGGTTCTGGTGCTGGAATGTAAAGGGTGAGCCTGAACTTGTGTTCTCCAGTGTCACCCATGCTACCTGTCCTACACTTTCGCATCCTGACCAGCCTTTAGTAAAGGATGCCCCCTTTTTTAGCATGGTCTTGGCCATTTCCTTTGACTTGAATCCACTTCCCCAACACAGACCTTAGTTAAAATGTCTGTCCTCAGGATGTTATTCTGTATCAGTGTATCCACCTTCTCCTCTCCTTTTCTATCCTATTACATTGCTTTATTTTCTTGATACCATTTACCTTTCTCAAAATTATCTCATTTATGCAATTCATACATATGTTATTTGTCTCACCTTCTAACAGGATACCAACAAGGGTGCCTGGAACCCAAAAGTTTTGCAATAGATATTGAATGGGTTGACCCAAGGCTTTACATTTACACCAGGAATTCCAAATGTGTCTCTGCCATAAAGAAGAAAAAAATCATGTCATTTGGAGGTAAATGGATGGACATGGAGGACATCATGTTAGGAGAGATAAGGTAGATGCAGAAAGACAAGTGTCACGTTTTCTGTCAAAGGAACAAAGACCTGAAAGCAGAAGAGAGATTGTTTGGGAAGAGGAAGGGAACTTGGGGGAAGGGAGAAGAAAGGGGGACAAGGGAGGGGAAAGAAAGGAGGTGGATGAGAACAAAGCATGATACACGCATCTGTGGATGCATCACTGTGAAGCCCCATTAATATGCTTTGATAAGTATAAAAAAGAATGGCAGATATGTGCATAGACATTGCTATTTGTGTCGTGGTTTCCTTTTTCCCAGCTTCAGGGGCACAGTTTCAATGCAGTTCTCAATCATTAGTCTCAACATAAAGCCTTTCTCATATCCCTAGTTCAAAACGTAATTTCCCACATATAACTTTTCAGTTGAGGAAACTGAATCTCAGACAGGTTGAACAAATTCTATTTTTTCCATTCTCTTTTTTATTCTGTCATTTGAAAATAACGAGAATTTAAAATACAAGAAGCAAGACTCAGGTTTGTGCGACATGTCACCAGATCTTGGGCCTTGTGCTCCACTTGATCATAATGTGCTTTTCAATATATACTTGCTGAAATTAATTCACTAGGAAGCTTAAAAAGGATACACACGAATTACTTTATACAAGGAGATATATGACAGTGCTGGTGGGACTATTACAGGGTAGATTACGGGGAAGAGAGATTGAAGGGATTTCACATCATTCATTCCAATGACCTCATTTTACAGATGACTTGAAACCCAGAGAAGATAATAGTTTGTTTCCCATGAATGCTTGTAGGATGAATAAAGAACTGACAGCTTGACCTGATCAAGGTCATGTGATTATTTTGTGCATAGCAGATATCAGAGTGGAGTTCACAGACAAAGCTTTCATCCCCGCCAGTGATCCTCAAACACATGGGATGGAACCCTCTGGGAATGCTGCTAAAATTCATGTGGGGGATTGTGCTTCAGGATTTAAATTTTTAAATCCTCACCCCTCCCTCAGGGTGATTCTGCTGCACAGGCATATTTGTAAACCACTGAGGACCATGAATTTGCTTTACTTTTAACAGCAGAGATGTAGAGGTTCTATAAATTATATAGAGATTCCCTCTTATAGGGGTTCAAAATAAAGAATCCTTAATTTTGGCTTAGCTGCACTGTATCAGTCTTAGAGCTAAATCTCAATAAAGACTTACTTTTGACATTTAATTAAATTCAACAGTTATTGAGTGTGAGGGATAAAAAATGAGTAGGACATGCTTCTTATTATAGACTCTTTAAATCCTACTTAAATAGAGGGAAAGAAGTTACAGAATTCTGATATTTCCCTGAGTTTCAGATAGTAATGATTTGTCAGGCTGCTGGTAATATGTCTTGTACCTTGTAAGGTGCATTGCAATGCTCAGTTTATTCTGATTAACTGTTAAAAGAAAGTGCCGTTTTTTGCTTAAACTATGGTAGAGTTATCTACCAGGTGATAAGTGACCAAAATAGTCTTTCATTATTTATATTCTGTAAATGAGCAGGGAGAAGAAATTGAAAGGAAACATATTTTATCCCTCTCATATTTTCACATTGAAAATAGAATGGGCTAAATTATATAACAGATGCAATTAATTACATAACAAATTTAATCTTTCTATGGAAGTAACAAGCTCTGCTTTTTCTAACTAGTTTTTACTTCCTTCATATTTTATCTATGGTGTCTGTCAGCAGTAAAATATCCTAGATGCAGCTCTTCTCTAGGTGCTCTGCACACAGTGTTGGGCCTGACATGCTTCACTTCAAGAGATGTAGAAATCCATTTCTCACATTTATGGAGTAGAG